GTACCCTTTGCCATCAATTATTCTACTTTCCCAGGGTTTACTGCTCTCTGGCAGTGGTGTGTAAATGATTCACCTTTACACTTCTCAGAAACATACCTGTTGTGTAAAAGTGAACTGTGGTAGTATCTTTTTGTGGAAAGAGTCCTTAGATGATGGGTTTTAGGAAATACAGACATAGGCTTGCTCAGATGAATGAAAAGATTAAATCAGAGTAGAATAGCAGAGAAGCATCTTAGACTAGGCAAGCACTAATACACCTAGTTAAAGGGAGCTGACAGGTTTGATATGCTAGGATTGGTTAGTTCACTTTGAGCAAAGGCCAAAGGCTTGGAAGATGAAAAATCCTCTTCCAAGAAAAAAAAAAAAAGGTGGCAGGAGGAGAGGAATGCAGCAGAGCAGAGGTGGCAGTCATCCTGAGTATGTAGAAGGGATCTGGCAAAAAGAAACTAAAGATAGTAAGTACCCCAACGGGGTGGAAGGCAGCATATGAACTAGCTGCCAGAGGAGAGCCCTCATTAGTGTTTATTTCATAGGAGGAAGTTGTCTGCGTGTCATGTGTTCTGTTGGTAAATAAATGTAGAACCCATGCTAAAGGTTCTTCATTGATTGAGCCTGTGAACCTGGTTGTTCAGTTTAGGAAATGGTATGGTAGAAGAATTTCATGAAGAAATTGACCAATCATGCATATACTATATGGAACCTTCAATCCAGTCACACAACACAATATTTGATACTGGTGTCTGAAGTTTTAACTGTTAAGGAGCTTAAAATTATGAATTTTTGTCATGTTTACAAAGTGTTATAAAATCATAATGGCTTTGGAGTAAGCATTCTCCCAAACTTTTAACCCATTCCTGACATATACTTTTCCAACAGCCTTTTTCACGTAGATGTGCTAATAGGTCAAACTGACAGTATTTATTCTCTTAATGATCCATTTTTTGTTAATAGTAGCAGAAATATTAAAATTTCTAGTGCAGAGTTGGAGACTACTCTGGAGAGTTGGAAAGTTTGTTGGAAGGAGATTTTGTTTCGATCTTTGAGTCGCTAATTAATTTTTTATAAGGACAGCCACTTTATACTGTCAAGAGAAATAATCTCTGATTAGATGCTTGTCCCTCTAGATTTTGTTACCTGGAAATAATAGCCACTCAGTTCTCAGCCACACACCTACACAGCACCACCCCCTTGACAGGTTTTTCCACACTAATCATACTTGATAGTACCCAACTGTATTTTTTATTTCCTCAGTAATATTTTGTACCATTCTGTTTCCCTTTTTCATATGCCGATCTGAAAATTATTGAATGCTCTTTATAAATTTTTTTACCAACCGTTTTGTAAGGTTCTTTTATTTCTTGCACTGTGCATTTGATAAATGTTTGCTGCTGACTGAACATAGTCACTAACCACACATTTTAAATAGTCAAGAATCAGTGAAAGAATATAGAGTTGAGTAGGTGAATGCTAGTTCACTTCTCTTTCTGTTTGCTCTTTTTGCTTCACTTGAAACAAGGAGAATTCTTTTCTCCTTGTCCCTTTGAACTAATGGCAGGTTGCACCATGGAGTCTTTCCTACCACTTCTGGTTTTGTCCTTTACCCCAGTTCTGAAAACAAGTTCACAAAAGATTGACACACAACTTGAGTTGAGGTTGTCTCCACAAGGAAACTTGGCAGTAGCTAACCACCTTGGCATTTGATGCTTCCTCAGATTATTGCAAGGCAAATAGACCTACAGAATCCCCAGAGACAGGCAAATGTTGGTGAGCCTCTGTTTGGTAATTATGTCACTAACTTCTGGAATATTTTTAGCGTAAGTTAGTGAGTGACTGCATGTGGATCATCCCGATGTGGGGTTGGACAGAAGGTACACCTTTTAGTTGCTTTCTCACGTTGGGCAGGTTTACTAACCACTCCAAAGCCTTTTGTCATCTGCAGCCATGGGGGAATTTTGATGCCTACCTAACTTGCAGGCATATTGTGATATTCAGTAATACTTGTCAAGACGTGTAGGGTGCTGGGTGCTGCCTAGAATAAGTGTTTCCTTAAAAAGTATAAATTTATAACAGGATTAATACTAGTTGTAAGAACTGGAGGTTTTTAAATTATTTATCCTAATACTAAATTTATGATTTCTGTACTTTATCTAACATTCCTCTCTATCTACCTGCTTACCTCTCTCTCATACCAAAACAAACAGTTTGAGAGGAGTTATTTTATTTAAATGAGATACATATTTGTGGGGATAATAAGTGGATAGTATTACTGCTTTTACTGTATTGTTTACTGTTAGATAAATTGAACAGAATTTATAATTTGTGTATTAAGTCAAGACACTTGACTTCTGAATTTCAAATTTGATATTAAAGAATACTTTTAATATTTCTAAAACACATACCCTGTCTGATATGTATTAAAAATTATAGTTAGCATTTGAATTTGAAATCATGTTGGAATGAAATTTAATGCTAGTGGTTGTATTAAAGGAAAATTGAAGAAATGTTATAATTTACAACCAGTGTTTTAGTGAAAGTTCATTACTAGAACTTAGCTCCTTTCATACAGAAAATGGTTTTCATTTTGTTGACTATTATTTTAATAAATTGTTAAATGGAATACTGTGTTAAATGTAACATTTAGTTAAGAAATTTCTGTGTACAATTCTGATTTTTGCCACTAGAGGGCCCTCTTTTACAGCTGCTTTTCTTAATGTCAAGGTATTTCTGTACACCTTTCATGACAATTGAACTTCTTAAAGAGTTTTGGAGGAAAGATAATACTTATTAATTTCTTTCAGATTATATATCCACAAAGTAATCTCTGAGATGTTGGTGGGGGATAGTTTTTAAGTTTTCCTTTTTCTCCCTATGTCTAAAGCAGATGAAATATTTCTTTTGTCTGGAACTGTTAAAGGCTAGACTCTAAGCAGAAATGTAAATAAAGTCTTTTACACCAGACTGACTTGACAACATTTTATCTTCTGTTATCATCTACTCCCTTTCTTCCTCTTCCTCGCCTCCCACCCCCTCCAAAAAATCCTCAGCAAGAATGGTTTGGGGTGGGCAGATTAGGAGTTTTGTGAAGGAATGTTACAAATGTGTATGTATGGAAAGAACATTTTCTCTGGTATTGTTAGACATAGGCCACCAGGCAGAAGCAAATGACTGAATGAGGTTTTGTCCTCCTAAGCCCAGAGCACCAAATAGGCAATTCAGGCATGTTTCTTTCCCATAATGTTCTAATCCTTCATTTTACCTAAGTCCAGAGAAGCAGGAAGCAGGAATGGAAGACTGCAGGAGTGTTTCCTCGCTATCTAGCTGTCCCATGTTTTACATTCACCTGAGTGTGACACCCCTAAAGAGCAGAGTAGGAATGACTGGGAGTCTTTTAACACTTTCTTTTATTTCTCTCCAGGTGTAGAGACTGAATAATTAATCCAATAAAGCCATAATCATAATGCTAAATGATCAGTATAAAGCTTGCTTATATTTTTAGTTCAGTCGGGTATATATTCTTACTTTTGTCTTAGTTTAGTTTGCTATCAAAATTGTGTGCATAAAAATCAACTGAGGACCTTGATAATAATACAGATGCCAAGTATTGGCCCCAGAGATCTTATTCAGATAGATCTGGTATGTGGCTGGAGTATCAACCAAATCAATACTGTTTCAACAGTCTTACCCCACCCCACCCCTCTTGTATTTTTGTGTGCAGACTAAAGTTCGACATTTAATGGTTAAGAGCAAACTTAGACATGTTTCCTTTCTCTGGAACCTACTGACCTGCTGTTTCCATAACCTTTAGCAAGTTTCTTAGGATCTCTGAGCCACATGTAAATAAAGAGATAATACATTTAAGATCCTAATGAGTATGAGACTAACGAACATAGAGGATAGCAGTTAAACAGTGCTTGCCCCACAGAAGGCCTTTCTGTTGATGGCCTCCGCTGTTACACATGAAACTTGCCATCTGGCTCTTGCCTGCCTCACCACTCTCATCCTTCACATCCTTACTTCTCCTCCAACAGTGTTAAGATTTCTTGTTCCCTGAACAGGTGGGTCTTTGAGGCTTCCATGCCTTATTTGTAATCACCTATCCTGGGAATGCCTTCTGTTGCTTTCTGTTTAGTACTTTGTTACTTGTCTTTTAAGATCATTCACTTGTTGCAGCTTCTGTAATCACTGTGACCTTCCTGCATCCCCTGCCCCCAACATACAGGTATTCTCTCTGCTTTCCTCTGTCCCACTGAGAGGCATCATGCTGTAATGAGAACATGAGTCCTAAAAGCAGGCCTGGATATGAATCCTAACAGCCTGCAACTAAATGTGTGAGCTTGGACAAGTTGCTTTAGTTCCTCTCAATCTTTTTTTTTATGTGCAAAATGGGGATGACATTAGGGTATCATGAGAAATAAGGGAATAATGTGTGTGATTACCTAGCCCATAAGCCTTCAGTTAGTAGCTCTTTCTTTTATGATGATGATTTTGTGTGTATCTTTCTCTTTATTCGCCTTTCTGTGTTCATACATAATAAAACACTGACATTTAATAGGTTCTGAGTAATTTGGTGAAGGAATGAACAGGTCCATGAATAAATGATAACTACATGAAAGGCACTTGGAAAACTATCCAACACTATTTATAGAGATTCTGCTTACATTTGAGTGCTGAGTTTTCTGATATGAAGCCTATGTACTATTTTTCAAATTTTATTTGAGTACAAGTATTTATAGCTAAGTTAACCTGTTTCAGAAAAAGGCAGTTAAGTTTGAAAACTCTTATGGATTAGAGAAGTGCCATATTGATGTGCTGATACATCTTAAAGTTTAAATTGAAATTTAACCTTTACAATAAAAGCACTCATGATTTGAGATGGTTTTCGGATTTGCTTATCACAATTGAAATTCAGTAACTCATTTGATTTAGTGAGGTGGTGTAATAAGCCCTCTGAATTAACAGTGGCATACAAATTTTCAAAATCTTTCTTTTTCTTGTAACAGCAACATTTCATTGAGTTGGATGAAAGTAGACAGATACTATTGCAAAAGTGCAAGGAACTTATGGACAGAGCTAAGCAAGTATGTAACCTGGATGCAGAGCAGACCATTCCTCAAGAGTATCAGACAGTAAGTATAAAAAGTATATGATGTTACAAGCTAATCTATCTAAAATACTACTTTTAACTTTAAAGTATGTTAGGCATGATAATGGGCCTAATATGATGTGCCATAAAAAATACAGGATTTTTCCCATTTTTAAACTGAGTAATATATGTAAAGTAATTCTGCTTAATGGAGTTTTTGTATCATTCAAACTTGGGTACCAGTCTTTGCTTAGTGCTAAAGTTATTAAACACTGGTATCACCTTGAACAATTAGTCACAGCATTCATTCTTCCAATAATAGCCTTTTTTCCCCAAGCTACATTTAAGGAGTGGTGGGGTCAGGAGGTATAGTGTAATTTTTCATGGAAAAATAATACCAGTAATTGGTATACACGAAACAGTAAATAGAGGTGGTATTCAAAGGCAAAATGAAATTTTTTTCCTGGAAATTAGAATGATTGTTTAGGGTTCCATGGAATGTGAATCTTTAGGGTAACAGCTGTTGGTAAGGAAAGGAGAAAAGAGCCTTTCCTTCTTTCCTTTATATTTTACATTCAGACTTTATATTTTGTCACTCAGTTCATAAAATGAGATGCTGTCCTTTGGTCTAAGTTCCATCATTAATTAATTATATAGCCCTGTGATCTTAAGCATTATCTGACAAGTAGGAATAATACCTTGCCTTACATATCTGCTCTCTCAGGGTAATGTCAAAGTAAAATAAGAAAATGAATAGAGAATGAACTTTTATATGACTGATATTTGTATGACTTTTTTATCTATTTCAATAGATAATGAAGTGTCTACTAACAATATTAATAGGACCAAAAAAAAGCTAATTTGGATTGTAATTTTCAAATCCTCAAAGATTTTGCTCTTTGATATCAGACCCAGCAGCACAGGGAGTGGATCTTTTTTGGATTCATAGTAGGGATTTAGTAGGTATTGTAAGACAAAGTGGGGAACTGTTGCTCCTAAAAACATACTAGGACTTCTTCTCCAAAATACGTCATGTTATAAAATAAATATTGGTACAATATTTATACTAATTTTTTCTTTCAGAAAGTATCACAATAATGTCCTTGATAAGTCATACAGTTTTTGAAAGCAACAAAATTAGAAGACAATTCATGTGTTCAATAAAATGTATTGATTACCTGGTATGTATCAGGCTTTAAACAAGACACATAAATACTTCCTTCTCTACCGAAATTTATAGTCTAATTTGGAAAGTGGGCCACAAACAACAAAAAAAGCAAATAGATAACGTCAGATGGCAAGAGGTATGAAGAAGAAAAACAAGGTAAAGAGGACAGAATGTCAGGGAAGGCTCCTTTGAGAAGATGCTATTTTTGATGAGTATTTCAGTGGACATGATGAATAAAGAAAATAAATCAGGTGAATGTTTAAGTGAAGAGTATTCCAGACAGAGAAAACAGCTCTTATAAAGCTCCTGAGGCATTTTTCATAATACAAGGGATCTCAATGGGGCTAAAAATTATAATGTAGGCAGGGTCAGATCATATAGGAGTTTGGGTTGTCTTTTGAGGTGGAATCCCCTGGAGGATTTTAAATAGGAGTGATGTGACTCTCTTTGATTTATAAAAGAGCTCTCCGTCTGCTATATGGGGAATAAAGTAGGGGTTCAAAATGGAAGCAAAAAGCCATCTGGAAGGTAATTGCTTTGGACCAGGCAGGAGATTACAGTGGCGTGGGTTAGGGTCGAAGTACTGAGTGGAGAGGTTTACGGACCTGAGGAATCTTTTCATGACAGCAGCAGGACACACTAATGATGAAGGGTAAGAGAAGCTCTAAACTTCTCCACTTAATGAGGTAGAAAAGATTAAAGGAGGAAAAGGTTTGCCCAAATTGGTGGAGAAGGAGTGAGCTGAAGATTTTTTTCATTGTCTTAAATGTGATGCCTCTTAGAAAGTCAAGTGAAGGTACCGAGGAGGTGGTGGGCCTATGAGTTGGAAGCCCAGTGGACAAGTCAAAATTCGGCAAAACACACTTAATATCTGAAGGCCTGTAGAAGTGAAACTGCTTTCTAAATGGTGAAAAAGAAAAGACATAAGATTAAGACATGAATGTAATGTGGCAGAATTTTTGTCAGGGTTTGAAGATTCAATTTGTACTGTATAGTGTATGAATTTTGCAGGTTGTGCTGGCAAAACTGTACTGCTTGTCTCCCTCATTAGGAAGGTATCTACTCCAATTTGTCTCTGTGGCATGGACTCAGATGGTGTAGTACTGAGGTGAATTTTGCCATCAAAGTAATTGGGTCCTTCAGGTGCTTTTGTAGTTCTTCATAAGTACAGTATCAAATTCTAACTTCTTGCTCTCTTTCAATGCCCCACATATTCTGGACCCATTCTACCAATTCAGCAAGTACCCACCATTCCAAATGGACACAGCTCCTCACCCCCCATGGTATGCAGCGCTCATTCTTTTTTCCAAGCTCCTGTCTCCCCTCTGCCTTGCTTCTCCCTGGCTGTTGGCTTTAAGGCCCAGAGATGAATTCTAAGCCTCAGAATTTTCTTAACTCTCTTGTAGCTCCCTAGCATGAACTGATTTCCTTTCTCTAAATTCCATAGCCTATATGATATGTACTGCTTGTTTTAATACTGAACACCAGTAACTGCCTTAAGATGTTATCCAGTGTTGTTAAGTGTATTCTAATAGAAGACAAGTCTAAAATATAAGCTTTTTGAAGGCAAAATACCTGGTTTTAACTCCTTTGATTCCTTGTTGTGTGCTAGCATGCTGTTGAACACATAGTAGGTGCTTACTTAGACTGTTTTTCTTTTCCTTTTAATTATTTCAGTGGACATTTTTCACTGTACTCTCTGTAATGGTGGACAATTTTTTTCTCATTTAGGCTTTCCGAGACCTTCCAAACACATTGGATGAAATTGATGCCTTATTAACTGAAGAAAGATCAAGAGCTTCTTGCTTCACAGGACTGAACCCTACAGTATGCTGCTTTCCCTGTTGCCTACTGAAGCACCACCACCCTCCCAACACACACGCACACGCGCGCACACACACTTCCCTCCAGTACTTGCCTCCCACTCTGTACTAGAGCTCTTGGTAATAATAAGCTAGACAGCAGGAACAATGTGCTTTAAATGCCAGATTCTGAATCTATTAGAATTTTAAATAGACTCTTCCTAAGGAACACAGTGTTCTGTGCCTTTTCTTTATAAAAAGAATAGTTGGGCTAACCTGAAATACTGCAATGTCTATTTTTTAAAGGATAAGAAATGGATTTTCAGTATAAGAACAGAAACTGCATATAGTACAATACAATTGGCTTTTTCATTTTAATGTTTTAATTGTTGCAAAATTTCCTGTAATTCGATCCTATGGTAGATTTATATGAAATATTTTTTTCTCTGCCAGGTTGTTGAGGAATACACAAAAAGAGAAGAAGAGATAGAGCAAATAACTGAGGAACTAAAGATAAAGAAATTTGAACTGGATAAATACAGGGAAAACATTTCACAGGTAATTGCTTCATTTTTATCTCCTGTTTTTGTCATATGCTTACCATTAGTCATATGGTGGGACTGGAGAATAATACAAAATGAAATTACATGCTTCTAAGAAAAAAATGCAGTGTATGTTCTTATGACCAGATTGATATTGGTATTAAATTTGTTTTATGTAAAGTTTTATATCAGAATATAGTAACACTCATCTTAAATTGTGTTTATATATTGCCTTTATGTGCAGGTAAAAGAGAGGTGGCTTAATCCTTTAAAAGAGCTGGTAGAAAAAATTAATGAAAAATTCAGCAATTTTTTTAGTTCCATGCAGTGTGCTGGTGAAGTTGATCTACATACAGAAAATGAGGTAAAATTGCATTTGAGATGTTCCTGCCAAGTAATTTTAATTGTACACTAAAAGTATATGTAAATTTTTTATTTATTCTAGAGTTATAAATTGTTTTCTACAGAATTGCTCAAAGGAAGGAAAAGACCACTGTGGGATTCTATTAGGGTCAGGGTGTGTGTGTGTGTGTGTCCACTGAAATAGAGTGTAATTCCCAGTGGTTTCCTTCTAATGATTCAGTATGAAAATATTGGAAATTTGCTACTAATTTATTGAGCAGTAAGTTTATGCCTTACAATTGTAGGTGAAATAGAATCACCACTAAAAGTGTAGATATGAGCTGGGATTTGCTTGAGAATAATTGGGAAAGAGGAGTAGGTGGAATTATAAATAAAATAAGGTTGGTCACATATTGATTATAGTCAATGCTAGTTGATGATACATTGAGCTTCTTTTAGTATTATCTCTAATTTTGTATATGCTGGAAATTTTCCCGAATAAATCTTTCTTTGAAGAAAGAAATGAAGATAATACAAAACCCTTTTCCCTTCACAGCTTGACAATTTGAGATTTTTGCATTTTAACTGTGTGCAGTTTTGCATGTATGTTATGTACATGAATATAAAATCAGGTAGTTCCTTTTTCTCCCCGTAAGAACTTTACCTATGACTCCTCCAGATAATCTGCTTAACTGAGGCATAAGGATAGCAAACACCTCATTTTTAAGTTCCAGTAAGATGTTAGACCCTAGCACAGTGATTGTTCACACAGTCTTTGGGCTTGTAGAATTAAAGGATGTATTATAGTAATGAACTTAAAATATCCTTCCTCTGTGACAGGCACTGTGAAGTTTGTTATCCTGTTCAATCCTCACCTTCATTCTATAAAGCAAGTACTTTTCTTGACCCTATTTTACAAATAAAGAAACTGAAAGTATTAAAGAACCAGTTGCTGTCTACAAGCTTTAGTCAGGGATCTCCACGGATCTATCTATGAAAACCTAGTGGCACTAAATTTTTAGTACTTTACTCTTACAATTAATTTTTTCAGTCTGTTTTCATGATAGCATAAAATTACCAGAGAAAATTGTTACCTCTTAACAACTTTTTTGATGTTCTATAGGAAGACTATGATAAATATGGAATTCGAATTAGAGTCAAATTTCGCAGTAGTACTCAGTTGCATGAATTAACACCTCATCATCAAAGTGGCGGTGAGAGAAGTGTTTCTACCATGTTATACTTGATGGCACTTCAAGAGCTTAATCGATGTCCATTCAGAGTAGTTGATGAAATCAATCAGGTATAGTGCTTATTCTTTTATTTGGATGTTACTGTGTCTTGTAATAGATTGAAACATAATCATCATTATTGTCATTATTTAGGGAATGGACCCAATCAATGAACGGAGAGTGTTTGAAATGGTTGTAAGTACTGCTTGTAAGGAAAACACCTCTCAGTACTTCTTCATAACACCAAAGGTAGGTCACAAGTAACCTAAAAGTACTCATGTACAGAAGTCCCTGTGGCTTAATCAGGTAGCAGGTTTTGGCCAAATATGTAAAATACGAGCAGGAATACTCCCAAAAAGGGGAACTAAGAGGACTGCAGTAATATATTACTAAAGGGGACAAGTTCCAGTGACATACTCATCAGAAGCCTCATTATTGGCTGAAAAACATAGGAGGCATAGCGTTATGTTGTAGAACCAAGATTTCCTCCCTGCTTTTGATACCTATTCCTTCTCTAGGGAAGTAGTACCTTTTAGTACTGAAAGAGGAGACAGGAGAATACACACCCTAGAACTCCAGCTCCCCACCCTTTCCCCAGAAGGGCCTGTCTTGGCTAACTCTGCCCTTCTTTATTCACCACTGCCCTGCCCTGGCCCAGAGGAAATCATGTAAGTGTCCCAGCACCTTCTACTCACAGATGACTGTGATAGAAACAATTATCTTTATAGAGAATTTTCCATTAGTTAGAACCATTGCAATGGGAAATTTTCTTTTGTTACATCTAGTGCTGAGTAAATTATAAAACTGATGGACTAAAAAATGTATTTATTGTGATCAGATTTCTTTTCCTTTTTTAACTAAGTATTCATGAAAAATTTCATTGAGGAGCCCATCTTAAAATCCCAGTTTTTCTTGAATAGTGTAATCTGTTTTCTTTCTCCAGCAGATACTCTGTAGATTAGCCAGAATGTTAATACCCTATTTACTAAACATCCTGGCCTATAAACCAAACATCACTGTTACACACTTTTCAGGCCACCAGTCCATCACAGCGCCTGAGAAGTGTTTGTGATTAAATGAGGGAAAGTATCTAGATTAGGAAAATCCTGATTCAGGATAGGATCCCAGTCTGGCAGGGTATATATTGAGGTATCTGAGAACTTCATAGCAGTTTCATTAATATTAGAAATAAAATACTCTAATATTGGCTGTAAGACATATAAGGTTGGAAAATTGTGCTCCTTTAATATAAAGCATTATATGACAGTTTGTTTTAACACTTACAGCTCCTGCAAAACCTTCCATACTCTGATAAGATGACAGTATTGTTTGTCTACAATGGACCTCATATGCTGGAACCAAATAGATGGAATTTAAAGGCTTTCCAAAGGCGGCGGCGCCGTATTACGTTCACTCAGCCTTCTCAATAAAAGTAAAGGACCAGAAGTTTAGAATTTCTCTGTTAAATCCTGTTAATAAGTATGACTCAACTGAGTAAAAGGAGATTCATTAAGACTAAAATACCAGTTATTTTTGGAAACCTGCTGTTTAATACAAATGGGTTGATGAAAGGAGACCACAATGACTTCTTTCTGTGGGTCATCATCTGGTAGAAAAAATTAGGTCTTCAGTCTTTATTGAACTTGAGTCCTTAGCACTGACCATGAATCATTGGGTTCCCATGTTAAAAAGTATGTACTATTTCAGATCAAAAGTACAGTGGAAGGGGTTATCCATCACAAGGAGTTTAGTTGATATGGTAACCCTGAGCTCTAATTGCAGAGTAACTTTAATTACTTTTAGAGTTTAAAGATGCCTCTACATCCTAAGTCATAGTATTCTCCCAGTGTTATATTTAAATTTTAAAAATTGATATGGAAATGTCTAGTCTTATGTATAGTAATAATCTATGACAAATCTATTCATTTCTTCGTATTAAAAATGACTACCTATCTCCACTAGGAAATAGAATTTTATGGACCTTTAAAAAAAAGTTTTATGAAACTTGATACTATAATTACATTGGTATATCAAAAAGGGGAAAAAAGACTAGGGTTCAAAAATGGTAGCAGGACTTTTTTGAAATGCCACAAGGTGGCCACAAGATGATGCAAAATGCAACAGAGATTGACAGAATAAAATCAAGTGACGAGGGTTTTTAAAGAATAACTCTGTAAAATGTGCATTTGGTGGTTTTTTTCTTTTAATTTAAAGTCAGTTGTCTTTTACATCTTAAATTTCTAAAAGCATTTTTATAATTATTTTTAGTAAGATTTTTTCTTAAGATATTTCATATACTGGTTTCTACGATTTATATTTGCAATTTCTCAGTGTTATGTAGAGTGAGGGAAAGCATTCATTTAAAACCATGATGTTTCTAGAACCTATGCTTATAGGTCCTTCCTTACAGTATTGATTCTACTCCATTATCTTGAAAAAATCTAGTTTAAACTGTTTTTCTTCCAGCATGAACGAACTAGACGAGAAAATCACTTGTTTATCTTCAAGTTGCACTAATTAACAGTGCCAAAACAAATTCTGTTTTAAAAAAGAAATCTTGTAAGATAATGGACTAGTCCAAGGACATGGCTTTGAACAGTGGATTGGATCTGTTCTGATAATATAAAATTATTTTTTGACTTGGTAGCTTGAATAAATTGAAGAATTGCATTCAGTTTGAGTTTTGCATATTCTTAAATAACTGCTAAAATTTATAGTATTAGGTCAAAAAATAATTAACCAGAAGTTTATGTCCTAATGTGGGCATTTCTCTTTAAAAAGGTATTTTTTCTTTATAGAAATTTTGAAAGAGCCTTCTCTTAAACTAAGTCTAATGCATGTACTATGAAAATATTTTAAAACAACATTTTTAACTAGTGTGAACAACTCACGTAAACAGTGAAAAACTTGGTAACATATTAAGTGGATGTTATTATCAAATGTTTTTGTTGTTTAATACTTTGTTTTCCATCAAAATATCTTTACTAGTATGTGCTTCGTGTAGTCTGTTTATGGTCTAATTTTAGTGCCAGTCATCTTGTTTGTGCAAAATTAGTATCAGTATGGAAAGGAAGCTTGAAGATGAGGGGTGTTTGAAAATAAATGATCAATTACATTTCAGTTTACATATGCAACAGTTATTCACTACTAGTTTTAAGCATTTTCTGCTTCTCTACTAGACAAAGTTATTTGATTTTACATTAGACTTTGAGCCGTGAAGGATAAATTATGCATCATTTTAACATTAATAAGAGTAAGTAGCACATTATACTCTCAGCCACATGAAAGTTCTTGTTTCCTTCAAAAGTTGCCTTTTAATTACTAACAAATTCTAAGAACTTCAAGCAAAAGTCTGATTTGATATTTAAATTTATAAAATATTTAAAACCTTAACGTGACAAGCGGTTATTTTTAATGACAAAATCTTCATTGATTTGTCTAAGGAAAGAGTCTTATTAAAAGGATTTTAGTATTCAAAGTGAAAGATTCCTTGCTGCTTTCTTATTGTCTTTTGGACGTGTGCTCATGTTCTTTGGAGTATGATTCTTTAGTATATGAAAAATGTAATTTTGTCCTGCTAGTGTATGCATCTGTAATTGAAAAAAACCTTTTTGTGGTAAGTGTTAGTTGGTAATAAATGCATATTTTCTTATTCTTTTGGGTGTCATTTTAAATGAAAACTTTTTATTCTTTGAACCTTAAGAGTCATTTTTTATTTCATGTTTGCTGAAAAACAAGTCTGTTACGTGCCTACCATCTACAGAACAATGTTTGGCTGTCTGTGTTGAACAGGATAGAAAATTTAGTCCCTTGCCTGACTGCAAGGAAATCAGTCTAATATAGGAGCATCAAGCACGTGAGAAAAGATAAAGAACCCAAGGTACAAGTATAAAACATACTTAGGTCAAAACCCTAGACTTGCTAAAAACACTCCCAATGGCCAATTTTGTTCTACTTCTCACAAACTATCCAAAGTGACCTTTTTCAGTGTATTCTTTGAGTTAGACTATCATTTGCTTGCAGACACGTTACTTCACTCAGTCTCCTCATTGATGAAATGAAGATAATGCCTAATTCACAAGCTGTTGAGGGGACCCAGTGAGACCCGGGCCATAGGGACCTGGTGTCAGGGTAGATGCATTATAAACATTTCCTTCTCTTTACAGGTTTTTCTTCAGTCTTACTGAGAGCTCATATTTTAAATCTTGAAAAATCTATTTTATATGTCAAGGACTAAGAAGAATTCTCTTGTAAGTAAAGTTAATGTATACAGAGATTTTTATTTTATTGATAGAGTCAGTTGTTCAAAGGATATACACACCTTTGAGCCTTAGCAGTACAGATACATTCTTGGATACCTTGTTACCTTCCATGAAGTTTGAGTCTGTTAGCCAGGTGTGCCTCCCTAAGTTACTTATACCAGCCCATCTCATTACTTTATACTCACCCGTATCTTTTGGGAAACATAATAATACAGGATGCACATTTGGGAGATTTGACTCTACTGAAAATTTGGGCTTTTTATTCCCAATGGAGAAGTTGGATGGAAGGGATTTTTTTTTTTTTATTGAGATAGAACTGTTTATTCGTTGATCCAAAGTAAGTTATTGACTAGAACATTTGGGTATTTTTGTAAAGCCAGCTTTGTTTAGCCCCATAGAGAAAGCAGGGCTAATGTGCTTAGCTTCATTCTAAGAACTATGTTAAGAGAAATTGAAGAAGCTGAGATCAGCCTAAAAACATTTCTGGCTCTGTGAGCCCAGCCTTCATGTGAAAGGCTGTAACAGGTTGGCTGTTTTCAGGGGGCACCTTGGAAACACGAAAGATGTCTCCTTCCACAAATACGACTTTACCTTTCTGACCACCCATTACTTAGTAAACTCATCCTGCCTCTCAGGAGCGCGCTTACGGTACATTCTTGGCATTCAGGTCCATGGGTTTAGAATGGAGGATGAGGGGATAAAGGTGCCAAGGAGTCACTTAGTCCTTCCTGCCAAATACTCAACAAGTGGGTTGAAACAGTTTAAGGAAAGATTTGGAACAAACTGTCCAATGAATGTTATGGTAGAATGATAAACTTTAAATTCTTTTCATATTACTTAAAATCTTGATTGCTCCCAGTGATCTCTGTGGCATGTTGCATTCTTTACCTTCAAATACTAGATGCTAGACTTGGAGAGGATCTTCAGAGTAGCTTAAGAGCATCATCTTTTTTCACAATCATAAGTCATGAAAAGGAATCATTTGAGTGATAAAGGCTAGTTCTGATAAGCCTAAATAGAGTTATTTGATAACTAGAAGCTATAATAATGTGTTTATAGTATCACACTTTCAAAGTGTTTTGATAAAACATTGTACACAACAACCCTGTACTGTAGATGGAGAAACAGGAACTTAGCAATGTTACTTTGAAAGCTTTTACTGTTGGTAAGTGGCAGAAGTGAGACAGAAAAAACTGGTTTAATTTATTTTCCAGAATACTGTGCTGCCTTTTTATCAAGATACCTTGCCTTTTGAATTGTTAGAGCATGACCATAAACAGGTCCTGGTGATGTAGTTAACATCCTTGTGGATAAGATACTGCTGCTCTGATAATGCTCCTGAGTTAGCGTACAAGTTACATTTGTTGTAACAAAAGCCCAAAGAGAGCTTAATACTAGACAGATGTATATATGTGCCCTAACAGAGCATAAGCAGTCTGGTACTTGTCTCCCAACTTCTTTTTTGTTGCGCTGCCATCCTCAACCTATGGATCTTTTATGATGGTCCAAAATGACCACTTTGCCATCATATCTATCCACACACTCAAGAAAGAAGAAAGGGAAAGACATGACCACTCCATTTAAGAGCATGATCTTGCAAGAGGCACAAATTATTCTTGCTCTTGTCCCGAACCTAGTCCCATAGCCTGCAAGAGAGACCTTGACCGTGTCATCTTTAGTGACTGGGTACCTAGTTACACCCCAGCCATTCCATTGCTCAAGGAGGGGAGGGTGGATGTTGCAGGACAAGGAGTCTGCCACAGTTCCAGAGAGACCCCATTGTGCTATAGACCATTGGCTATGTTTTCCAAGAAAATATTTAGTAATTTTCCCATAACGTAAAAATGCAGTTATGACAGCCTTCAGTATTCCTGCTGTCTCACCAATTCACCCTCATCTAAAATAGCATCCCTGAACCACTCTGCTATTCTCTTACCCTGAGTTTCCTTCATGACATTTATCACTATCATATTCTGTTATTTGTCTTCACTAGAATATGAATTCTCTAAAGGCAGATACTTCATGGTGTTGATTGCTACCTCCCCAGAGCCTAGAAAAATGCTTGTTAGTACATAGTAAGCACTCAGTAATTGTAGCATGAATGAATGCCTTAAGGAAAGATATGGAACAAACTGTCCAATGAATGTTATGGTAGAATGATAAACTTTAAATTCTTCTCATATTACTTAAAATCTTGATTGCTCCCGTTGTGGCATGTTGCATTCTTTACGTTCAAATACTAGATGTTAGACGTGTCACCCAGGGGACACCTCTTGATCACCTGGCTCTGGAGACCAGGGGAGCTTGCATTCCTGGTCCCATGGGATTATAACAATTGGCGTCACCCAGAAAGATTATATGCTTGTTTAGCACCCTAATTTTTGCAGCTGCTGTCAAGGGACACCCTGGAAAAAGACAATAGAATGGATCAGTTCTTTTATAGCCTGCAAGAGAGACCTTGACTGTGTTCTTTAATAGCATAAAAAAAAAATTGACAAACCTCCCAAGCAAAGAGAGGACTCAGAATCAGAAATGAAAGAGGTGATACAAGTGATACAAGTGATACTGCAGAAACAAAGTATCATGAGAGGCTATATAATTACACCAACTAATTGGACAACCTAGACAAAACCGATAAAGTCCTAGAAACATACAACCTTGCAAGACTGAATTATGAAGAGAGAAAATCTGAACAAATCTTTATTACTAGTAATAAGAAACCTCCCAACAAGCCAAAGTTCAGAACCAGATAGCTTCAATGGTGAATTCTATCAAACATTCAAAGAAGATCTAATACCTCTCTCAAACTTCCAAAGAATAAAAGGGGAGGGGACTTTTCCAAACTCATTTCACATCGCCAGCATTACCCTGATACCAACACCAGACAAAGATGTCACAAGAAAAGGAAATTACAGGCGAATATCCCTAATGAACACAAACATGCAAAAAATCTCAACAAAATATTAGCAAACTGAACTCAACAATATATTAAAAGGGTCATACTCCAGTGGAATTTTATTCCAGGGGTACAAGGAGTTTTCAACATCTACAAATCAGTATGATATACCACATTTGCAAAATGAAAAATTAAAATCATATGATCATCTGAATAGATGCAGAAGAAGCACCTGCCAAAAACGTCAACATTCATCTATGATAAATGCTCTCAACAAAGTGGATATGGAGAAAACATACCTCCACATAATAAAGGCTGTAACAACAAACCTACAGCCATACATCATATGTAGTGGTGAAAAGCTGAAGCTTTTCCTCTAAGATCAGGAATAAGACAAGGATGCCCACTCAACACTTTTAATCAATATAGTACTGGAGATCTTAGCTGGAGCAACTAGATAGGCAAGCAACAAGTGACATTCAAATTGGAACTGAAGAAGTAAAATTCTCAGTATTTGTAGATGATACATATCTAGAAAACCTCAAAAGATTGAATAAAAAAACTTAGAACTGTTACACAAATTCAGTAAAGTTGTGGAATGCAATACACAGAAATCTGTTGGATTTCTATACACTATTAATGAACATTCAGAAGAAAAATTAAGAAAATAATTCCACTTGTTTCATCTAAAAGAATAAAATACCTAAGAATAAACTTAACCAAGGAAGTAGAAGACCTGTACTCTGAAAACTATAAGACACTGATGAAAGAAATTAAAGGTGCCACAAATAAATGGAAAAATATTTCATGCTCATAGATAGGAAAAAGTAATGTTAAAATGCCTATATTACCCAAAGCAATGTACAAATTCAAAATTCCAAATGTCATTTTTCACAGAATTACAACAAACAAACCTAAAGTTTGCATGGCACCACCCAAAACCCTGAACAGACAAAGCAATCCAGAGAAAGAAGAAATCTGGAGGCATCCCATTCCCTGGTTTCAAACTATATTATAAAGCTATAGTAATTAAACCAGTATAGTATTATAAAAACAGACACATAGTTCAATGGCATAGAATAGCCCAGAAAAAAAAATTCATGTATGGCCAATTATTGACAAAGTAAGCAAGAATATACAATGGAGAAAAGACAGTCTTTTCAATTCAATACATGGTGTTGGGAAAACTAGACATATGCAAAAGAATGAAATTGGTCCACTGTCTCACACCATACACAAAAATTAACTCAAAATGGATTAAAATTTGAATGTAAGACCTGAAACCATAAAAACCCTAGAGAAAACGTAGGCTGTAAACTCTGACATAGGTCTGGTGAAAATATTTTGAATCTGACACCAAAAGCAAAAGCAAAAATAAATAAGTAGGACTACATCCAGTCAACAAGCTTCTGCACAGCCAAGAAAACGATCAACAAAATGAAAAGGCAGCCTACTGAATGAGAGAAAATCTTTGCAAATACATCTGATTAGGGGCTGATACCCAAAATATATAAAGAACTCATACAACTCAATAGCAA